ACTCCGCGACCACTGAGATCTAGAGGCGTTTCCCACACGGAGCTCTTCTGATCTAAAAGATTCGGACACACACACACACACACACACACATTGGGTACAGGCAGGTATCTGATTCATCCTTCCTCTCTGCCTCTTCATCACACAGAGCATCATCCAAGTAGAGGATCCCCACCCTTCGAGGCTGAAGAGTTCCTGGTAATCAGCCTGGACCGGGCCTTTCCCTGCATGCTGAAGAGCACTTCTTTTGTTTTTTCACACTTCTTGAACCTTTTCTTTATGTGGAGCGTTTCACCTGGACAATTTATGGATAAAAGGATATGGCTGGATGATGGATAGATTTTAAACTCTGGGTGATTTTGGACTTTAGATTTTTGTATTTTTTTCCATTTTCTAATCGACTCCATGACAACGTGATTTCTTTGTTCTCAGCTTTTATTATCTGATTCAGTCCTGGCTGAGTACTCATTTTATCTGATGCTTGGTTTTTACTAAACCTTATATGTGTGAGCTGAAAGAAGCTCTTTTGTTTTGTTCTCCAGCTGGGTGTGGCATTGTTGTCATCGTCCATTTTTAAGGGTAGGATCAGGAGCTAATGGCAGATAGATCTGTTTTAAACTGAAAATAAGAAGGGACTGTGATAGAGGAAGAGGGAAAACAGAAGAAAACCTGGTTGGAGGAAATTAGATTATAGAGGCAAAAGGAGGGGGAGGGCTAGGTGACGACAGGAGGCGTGGCAGCGGAGGCAGCAAGGAATCAGACGGGTGGATGCTCCCCACACCCTGAGATGCTGTGCTGGCTGAGGGAGGACGAGATGTCGGTCCAGGAGCTGCTGCAGCGAGTGCAGTGTGTCATCACACACATCGGTGAGTCACCACACAGCTAGCATGCTTTTCTCCAGCAGGAAGGTCACTTCAATCAGAGCTTCTCCAGAGAAGCCAGCTTGTCTTAGATTGTGGTGGTGATGGGGGGGGATCGAGGTGGGATACAGGCAGGGGTCTTCCTCTCATCAGGACCACTGAGGAAAAGTGCAGAGGGATGAGCAAAATGAACATGATGAAGACAACAGCATTTCTTCTCTCATAGGTTTACGTCAGTTTCATTTAGGTGTTTCTTGTCTCCTCTGTTTTGTCCTTTGGATTCTGTCTCTTTGGACAAATGTCCTCCTGTCCTATTACCTCATACCCCCCACCTCCGTAGTCCTTCATCCGGGTAACGTTCTGGCAGTGAAGTAGGTTAATGTGCCACTAGATAGTGTTCTCTGTCGCTGCATCGCCTCCACTGCACCGTAGCCGGGGGTGGGGGGTTATTGAGTGTTGGGGGGTGGGTGGGGTGGGGGGGGTTATGAAGACTGTTTCCGTGGAAACTGAGTTTGAATGAATCAGAGATGATACGTTTACAATAAAACTGTGGACATTTTTCATTTTACCTCAGTATTTGTCTAGATTTATAGTGTTGTCTTCTTTTGGTCCATTTGTCTGTCTGTTAACGAAATATGCCATTAACCACAGGATATATTTTAATTTAAATTTTTTATTTTACTCTTTATATCTTTGATGGCTGGCAACTGGGAAACTGATAGATAAATGAATGACTTATAGTTTATTTTTTGTCTCATATATTCCTTAAAGTACATGTTACAGAATGTCAAAAGGATATTAACACCTGGTTAAACTCCCAGTGGAAACGTGACTAAATGACCCGACGGTGTTGCCCAAGTTGAATTAAAAAGATGTGTTTACCTATGCACAAGGGTCCATGTAAGCCTTATTTTCTAATAATTTACAGTTGTAAAGTTTCTCAAAATTGACAAAATGAAGACTGTCAATTCACACTAATTTGAACAGAACAGAACCCCCAATAGACGTGCGCATACTATGCAGTGACCAAAGTGTGCCTACAGCAGATTTCCATTTTCCGCTTCTCAGACTTGCAAATTGAAAAATACATTTTTATGTTTATATGTTTTTTCTTGTTAGACGTGCAGCCATTCACATAGCAACTTCTTACTATTTTGTCAGCTTTCCCCCAAACCAATATGTCAGCCACCTTCTACGTGTTTATGTGACCAAGTACTCGGATGTTGGGTAATGATGATGGAGGGGTAAAAAGGGAAAATAGAGAAATAAAGGACAAAGAGAAAAAACGAATGAACAAAAGGGAGGAAAAAAAAAAAAAAAAAAAAAAACAAGAGAAAAAAAAGTACCCGGATGTCAGACTTTGAGAATCAGGCAGATTAGACAAAAACCTGAAAAAAATCATCATATCAAGTTTGGTGCTGGTATTACAATTTGCACAATTTTTCTAATATCTGCTCTGCTAAATGAAATGTTCAGAAAGTCAATGGGTGTGCGTCTACAACTGTTGGAGTCAGTTCAGTTTTAAAAACCCAAAAGTGGCTATAAACCAATGAAAATATTTGGCGTATTGTTTATGCTCTTAGTGCATTTTTTAAACGTTTTTCTTAGTTCATATTGTAGATCTTATTACTGTTTTTCTTTTACATTTTATTGTTAGATGTAACTGGGACCGGGCAGCACGGTGGCGCAACTGGTAGAGCTGCTGCCTCTCAGCGAGCAGGTCCTTGGTTCAAACCCCGGTCCAGGGGCCTTTCTGGGTGGAGTTTGCATGTTCTCTCCGTGCATGCGTGGGTTTTCTCCGGGTACTCCGGTTTCCTCCCAAAGATCAAAAACATGCATGTTAGGCTGATTAGTAACTCTAAATTGTTCCTAGGTGTGAGTGAGCGAATGAATGATTGTTTGCCTAGTTTGTCTCTATGTGTCCCTGTGATGGACTTGCGACCTGTCAATTCAATTCAAAAATACTTTATTAATCCCAAAGGGAAATCATTTGTTGTAGTAACTCGTTATCCTCATTTCATTAAGAAATGTTATAGATGCTGATGGCTGTAGGCAGGAAGGATTTCTTGTAAAAGGTCCATCCCACAGTGGATCCTAAGAAACTGGCTGCAGATGTCCAGGGTGTACCCCGCCCCTCGCACAGTGATTGCTGGACATGGGCACCGGCGACCCCCGTGACCCAAAATGGAATAAGCGGGTAAAGATAATGGATGGATGGATGGATGGATGACTCTCTGAAACTTACAGATACTGAACTAAAATTCACAGCATATATCATATTGTGTATGATGTTGCAACAACACCATCATTTCTTGTCATAATTTTACTCTAGAACTCAGGCATCAATGGTTGTGGAAATATGCATTCCTTCAAGGAAGGCTGGGTCTTTACTACCTGCATTTTTTGTGTTGTTTTCCAAATCATCAACACCTACTTTTGAAAGCACAAGTTTTTTTTTTAATCATTCTGCTACTTTCAGATTTTAATCTTTCCTTCTGAAGATCATGTTTGGTTGTCAGGATGGGCTACATGTCATGGATTTTAACCAACCTAAGCTGAAATTATCTTTTTTTCTTTGTGCTGAGTCACCTGAGAACACACCTGTTTAGTTTGGTTTGAGACAGAAGTTGAAGAGGACGGAAGAAAACCTTGTGACAGACCGCTAATGTGATGCAGATTTGACCCCTGTTTTCATCACCCTCTGCCGACAAGGACGCAGGAATGATTTATCATGTGTAAGTGTTTGTTAGCCCAGTGTTTCATCAGTTGATGTACAGTTCCAGTAAACAGGTGGAAGAAATGGCTTCTCTCAGTGAAGGACAAAGTAACAGAAATGCTTTAAAATCAGAAGAAATGGAAATTCGGGGATGAGCTACAGACAAGATGTAAAGCTCAAAGTTGTCCAAAAATGACATATACGGAGAGAGAAAAAAGTCAGTTTTATTGTAGTTTTATTTTGAAATCCCCCAGCAGAATAAAGGAATCCCCAGCTGGAGCACTTTCCAGCACCCGCACCTTCCAGCACCACTAAGGACTCCAATAAGATCCTGTACTCTGAACTGCTGTTTGGCGCATTGGTACAAACAACTGTCAGATACACACACACCCCACCTGAAGGTGCAGGGAAGCTATCCTCTCATCTACCGGGGAAAACTCCAACACACAGGCACCAAGCGGGGAGCTAAAAGTAGACGCACACTAGTTTAGCGTTTCTCACCATGGGCAACTCCAAAGTGGAATAAGGTCCAGTTCCTCTCAATAAAATTGGTTCCAGAGCCCACACTGTGCATTGAAGTGAGCCCAACTATATCTAGTTGGTACTTCGCAACCTCATGCACAAGCTCAAGCTCCTTCCCTGTGAGAGAGGAGGCATTCTATGTCCCTAGAGCCATCTTTGATAAGCCAGTGTCAGAACACCATCCACCTTTTGCTACCACCCATGGCACTAGGCACCTGACTCGTATGGCCTCTCCTACAGGTTGTGGGCCCACATGAAGGCAAACCCATGTTGCTCCTTGGGGTTGAGCCCGACTGGGCCCCATGGGTAGAGACCCAGTCTTTAGGTGCTCATTGACGAGCACCTCCCCTAAGTCTGGCCCCAGGATGGGGTCTTTTAGCTGACGTCCAGGCAAGTGACACTGAACTCCTTGTTGTTTTCAGTCCATATGAGTTTTGGGAATCACTCTTTGTCTGGCCTGTCACCTAGGACCAATCTGCCTTTGGAGACACTACCAGGGGCAATTGTCCCAGACAGCTGCTGCAACCATTCAGGCACAAACTTCCCACCACAATAAGGTGGGGATTTAAGGAAAAGTAGATATAAGATTTTAAATTCCATTTTGAATGTGTCAGGGAGCTATTGGAGAGAAGCTAAAACTGGAGAAATTCGACCTCTCCTTCTAACTCTCATCAGAACTCTAGCAGCAGTGTTTTGGATTAACAGAAGATTTTTTTTAGAGTTTTTTGGACCCCCCACATAATAAATAATTTCAACAGTCCAATGTAGAAATGATAAATGCATAGAGCAGTTTTTCTGCATCATTTTTGGACAAGATTTTTCTAATTTTAGTGATATTGTTCAGGTGGGGAAAAAAAGCGTCCCTGGTAATAAGGAGGTTAAATGACACCCTGATCAAAAATAACATCAAGGTTGTTTGCTTTAGAACTGGACAACATTATGCCATCCAGAGGAAGTGAAAGGTTGCAAAGCTTGTTCCTAAGATGCTCAGGTCCAAAAATCACATCATCTGTCTTTTTAGAGTTTAAAAGCAGAACATTAATAGTCATCCAGGTTTTTACGTCTCTAAATCAAGCTTGTCGTCTAAGTAACTGATTGGATTCATCAGGTTTCATCTTGGCTTCCTGTCACCTCCCACATGTGAGCAGTTACTGTATTTTGTACCTATTTCTGGCAGCTGTAGATGTGAGGTTGTCTTCACAAACATCTCCACCCAGTCTCAGCTTGTGTTGTCATGACGTCAGACTTGTATTCTTTCTGCTTCCTTTTCCTAGTTGATGTGCGAGATGGCTGGTGGGGAGGGGGAAGGAGGGAAATCACATCCTCTGGAACAAAGTATGAGGTTCTGTCAGCTGGACAGAGGCCAGCTGATTGTTCCTGTTCACAAGAACAAAACCGAAGGATCTCCTGAGGCACAACAGAACACTGACTGGTCTGGCAGCTGTGCTAAGCAGATCCACTGCTGAATCCCATGGTTCTGTAGAACCTAAGCTCTAATCTGTTCTGTTGTTGCAATACACTGACGTCACAGACTTGATGATTCTGCTGTTAGCAGCGATCAGAGGCATTATTTGGGGATGGTTCTGGTTGTGTCTTTATTTTGTCTGGAGGAATGAGTGCGGCTTCATAGAGAGCAACAAATAACATCTGGTCTTTGATGTGGGATTGTCAGGAACCTCACAGTCATGATTTATTTAGTGTTGGCGTGCAGAAACATGTTGAGCTGATGAGACGTCATGTGTTGGACTGCCTGAATCTGAACTGAGTC